ACCTTCAGCAAATCCTGTCAACCCCCATACCTCCATTTCCTTCATCATCCATAAAAAAAAAACACAACCAAAACCACCCCCCAAAAAAAACAAACGCAGGACTTTTACAGTGCTTCCTTCCTGATCCTTTCCTTGCTGCATTAGCTCACAGAGTCGGCATGTTTTGGAAGCGCAGAGGAACACGTCGGTGCCAAGCGTCATTGTTTATTCCCGTATTTTGGATTTTGTCACCTGTTCGCAGTCACGCTCCCAAGTCTGGCCTCCCCAGCCCCGGGTCAGCACACCACGCTGCTTGTGACCACCTTCTCCTGTTGTACATTCCTGTACATGAAGTATTTCCAGGTTTATTTTCAGCAAATAAACCGCCCTGTCTCAACCTGACAACTGCTGACCGATATCTGTGGTTTGGCTGTCAGCTCAGGACAGCCCCAGAGCACCCAGGGCCAGAAGGGGCACGTGGGTCTGACTCGTGGAGTGAGGACCACAGCCAGGAGACAAGCAGGTACCGGGAAGGTGACACCACCAGGGCTGGGAACAGAATAGAGGTGTCGCTATTTGAGAAGATCATTAAGTCTGGTGAGGAGAGAGGACCATCCTCACCCCACGGCGAGCAGAGGCGGTGGCGAAGCCGCGGAAACGCTTTGGGAAGACGGCTGCTCCCCGCACACGCTGGGAGAGACACAGAGCAGTTGCACGGGGCTGCAGAGACGGTAAGTTGTCCACAGGGGACTCTGAACCCATGGGCTTGCTCCTCTCACCTGGTTAGGGACCTGCCACACAGCCCAGCATCTCCTATTTGTGCTCCTCCAGCAGTCTCCACCGTTGCTCCCGAAGTGCAGCTTTGACATCCCTACTTCTTCTCTGGAAGTGCCAGAGAGACCGTCTGGGATATATTCTCCTTTCCTTTACCATCTCCAAGGCGACAAGAACCCACCAAACCACCATAAACTGATGCTTTCTGAAACTCCCAGAGTCCCTTCGTGCTTTACTCCAGAGCACTTGTTTTGCCAACGGATCCCTTGTCCTCCCAAACCTGAGCAGGACACGTGGACGGATCCAGTTTCAGGAACATCAGTAATTATAGAACAGAGCTGACGAGGGGAGGAGCTCCCAGGAACAGCAACACCACTTCCCAAGGCAAACAGTGGGCACGGAGTGTTACAGACTCAGAGCCACGTTTAAATGGAAAACCAGGAAAGCGGTAAGTGGAACAAGCTGTCACAGAGAGTGCCAAAGTCAGAGCCCTGCCTTGGCAGGAGCACCAGTGGCAGAGAGAAAGGCCAGTTTTTGGCAGTGCTGAGTGCCCCAGGACCTGTCTGAGTATTTCTCAAAGCCCCAGTGTCACTGGGAGACCAGCAAAGAGTCACCCCTGCTTTGGATGGGCTAATCAGCTCCCCCCCAAAAAGTGATGGGGCGTAGAAAAGTAGCAGCAGATCAATGCGTCGCTCTGGATCCTACACACGTGTGTGCAGCCTGTCAGCTGGAGCCAAACACCCAGGGAGTGCTATGGCTATAGGCTGCCAGTGCTCCCAGATCCAGGAAAATGCCCACAAACCCAGTAGCAAACCTCTTCTTTGCACCTACTGAGGTTCTAGATCCCACTGGGAGAAAAAAAATAACCCATCAACCTGGAAGTTTTGTTAGGCTGACACTCGGAGTCCCAGAAAAGTGCTACCGGTTTTGTAGACCTTAACAAAACATCCCTGGCACCAGCCCCCGGAGCTGGGAGCCCAGGACGCAGCTGACAGTGAGCGATTGTGCCCAGGCACTCGTTCAGATGATTCAGCAGGGCCTGGGAACGTACGCACCGGAACGGCCAGAACAAACCCCGCGTTCGCTGCATCTCCATCTCGACCGCAGAGCAAGGAAAAGGAGGGGGTGTGAGCAGGGCTGGATCTGTCTCCGCAGGGAAAACTCCAGAGAGCGTTAGAATAACTCCGTTACACAAACTAGTTCAACACCCTCTTCGGGAACTGGAGGGGAACGATGTTTCCTTACTATTTTTGGCCACGTTCACACAGCGAGAGCGGCAGGAGGAACAGACGTTTCCTTGCAGTTTCAGCCGCGATACGAGCAGTGCTCATGTCAGCCTGATCCTGCCAAGACTCCTCTGGTAATTAGGAGACGGCAGTGTGTGCTCTGACCATTTGCACTCCACCTCAGCCCCTAGAAAACAAAACCCTCGAGCAAAGCATTAGCACTTTTGATAACATCCTCAAGTCTTTGGCATCATCAGGGGGGTAAAGAGGTACAGAGTGACTACCACTTCCCCACACAGCCAGCTGCCAGGAGACTGGTGGGCTCCACCGCTCCAGCCCCAAACTCACTCTCACCAACAATCCTTTTCCAGAGATTCCCATGTCCCTAGGTCCCACAACATAACACCTACCCCAGGAACATGAGAACCCACAGATTTGTTTCGGAGATATGAGTCTCTGACCATCAGCTCCCGTGGGGTTAAGGGCTTTCAGGGTCCAACAGCTCCAGCAGAATCCATATTAATCAACTTAAAGGTGAAAGGCAGATTTGGGCCTTTTCAGAAATATTCCAGATTTGCATTGAGATGAAATCAAGAGTTGTATTAAAAAAAAAAGTTTGTAAAAAGTCAGGCAGGACAGGGATTTGAGCTTAGGTTCTCATCACCGAGGTGACTGCACAAAACACTACTTATTTTGAAACCATCTCACCCGCCCCCTCTTCAGCCTGACAAAGCCTTTCCTAATGAGACATTCATTAGGCAGTAAAGTGGTTCATAACAAAGTTTGTCTTAACAGACCATCAAAGAAATGCTTCCCTATCAGCAGGAAAGCTCATCTGGTCTTTTAAACCACCAGAACCGCTCCCTGTCTCCATCCTCCATGCCTATTACGGGGTTGAACGTGCATGTTCTGGTTTTTGCTATTTCCAGTTCCAGTTCCCAGACCAGGGCAAACCAGAAAACAGCAGCATGAGGGCAACGACACTGGTTAGCACAGATGTTACCTGGCTGTTGGTATCCACAAGCCTCAGAGATGTGCTCAGGCTTGGAAATGAAAAATGTTGGCGTTTCTGGCTTGTGTTTTCATCCTGCTGCCTCCTCCCCAGGTCAGGATTCCCCTACAAATCACAGCCTCCACCAAACCCACACTTTGGAGCAGGACCTGTCCACAGGGATCCCCAGGGAAACACCCGACACACACACACCTACGTCAGAACCCTCTGCAGAGCTGAGGGTTTGAAAGACCTGGCCCAAATGATCTCAGATGTTCACAAGTTCTTGGCTGAGCCTTGGAGGACACAGACACGTTCCAGACAGTATGATCACAGCAGAGAACGTTAGAGCATTTCAAGAAGTCATCCTGAAACTAAGATACAACTCGAGCCAGTTCTGCTCTGAACCCTTCTCATAACCATGCAGGGCTCCAGCGAACGTCACCTCAAAGCATTTATTTTGGGGAAGATGAATTTCATAATCTCCTTGACCAAAAGGCTTCATATCAGCATAATCGTTCTACTCTAAACCCTGCTTTGGGAAAGTAATTTCCCAGGCATTCTGCCAATGCAAGCGCATTTCAGAGTATGAAATAATTAAAGAAAAATTAGTCCTACAGTAAAATCTTATTTGTACTTGTGATGGAAATCACTTCTGCTCGTCTGGACTTTCCCAGAGTCTCCAAAATTTTTGCAGCAGTGATAAATAGTGTATCTCTGCCAGTGACACTTCTAGAAGAGCAGAGATTGCTCTGCTGCACCCGATGAGAAAGCAGTTACACAGCCTGACAAACCCGCCGGTATCAGCAAGGGCAGCTCTTCCTACTATAAAACAAGGGAGCCCATACAAATCCCAAAATAAACCAACTTCTCTAAAATTTCATAGTCAGGGCAAGCCCAGCTGGGTTCCGGCAGCAAATAATCTTTCAGGCATAAGCACTGTAACATCATCTCACCCAATTAAAACATCATTTGCATGTCAGGTCCCACTGCACGAAGGAACCCAAGAGTTTCGTCGTGCTAATTCCTCAGTTTCTAAGAACGTTTGCAGATTTCCAGCTCATAATTCAATAGCCACAGACGAAATATTCCCCGAAAGGCAACAAGATGTACTGTAGAAAAATACATATTTGTCAACAGGCAACACGCCGGAGAGACGGGGACCATTAACATCAGCAAGCAATTCTGTACAACAATGCTCTTCTGATCAGCAAAGCCTCATGTGGCTCATTACAAAATCCTCTCCACACGCCACGAAGATCCTTGGAAGTCCCCGTCTCGAATGCCAGAACAGAGACAGCACAACACTTGCACAAACGTGACACAGAAAACCACGTCTCCGTCCAGCTACACACCTCAGACGTGTGTTGTAGCAATAATAAATCCACCCCCTGTGTGCAGAAGCCACAGCGCTGTTAAAGGCTCTGAATGCAGCGTGGCCGCAGTGAAGACTTTTGGGCATCGCTTCAGACGTCTGGGGGCAGGACAATGTCCTCCCCACCCCGTGGTGACCACCTCCTCAAAAGCCCTGGACCCCCTTGGCTGTGACCTGCTCAGCTTCATCCGAGTAAAGCAATTACACAGCGCTAGACAGTACCGTGCTGCTGCCAGACCCTGTCTCTGGATCGTTAGGTAATTGGTTACCCAAGTCCCTGATCTCACGTGCCCTCCCCAATCTACAAGAGCCAAGTCATAAAAATCAGTGAAATAATCAAATATTAAATCCCTATACTTTGACGGTAACAGTTGGCTCAGAAGAACAGGATTAGACGGCGATACGCACAGCATGTTTCTAAGCACAACCTATAGAGATCATATGCAGAAACGGAACAAAAATAAGGCACAGAGTTTAAATTTCCAAAGAAATTTAAATTTCAAAGGAAATTTAAGAAAGTTTAAGCTCGTGGACAAAAGTGAAACTTGCTGAAAGCAAGCCATGCTTCCAAGGCTTTCCCTATCCTAAGTTTTTCAAAAACATACTCAGGAGAAGTGTTTCAGGAGCCAGCCTGTGTGCGGAAGGGAAGGGTTACCTCTCCGGAGCAGCTGTCCCCCTCTGCCTGTCGCCGAGAGCCACCCCTCAGTCACCATGTCAGCAGGGAGCGCCGAAACCCCGAGAAATCTGCAAGAGAACACAAGGCGAATTTCCACGGCTGTGCCGAAGGCCAGATATTTATGCCGCTGGGAGAGCTGGGCTGGATCCAGCAATAGCTCTGAAATTTAAACACACACTCCCTCTGCCGCACGCTGGAACCGCAGGCTGGGGTGACTCCCCTTGCGCCGCCGGGTGCCATCGCAGACGTTCTCCCCGAGCTCCAGCAGCTTCTGGAAACGGGGAGGTGGCACAAACCCCCGCTCTGCGTCCCAGAAGAGACACCCCGACCCCTCACCAGGCTTTGAGCATCAGGATGTCACCTTTGCCTTATGCCACCTGCAGCCAGAGGCTGATGATCCCGACTTTTCACGACAATGCATGAAGTTGATGCTAGGAAAAGGTCTCTGGTGGCCAGAGGGTGGTTTGTTTACTCAACTTGCTTAATCCACCTTTAAGAGACTGCCAGAAAGTTACTGTAACTTTAATGAACTTCCCTCTGGGGTGGTTGAAACTTAAGGATCCAACAGAGTTCATTTACTCTTGGTTTTCCTGATCAATTTGCAAATAGCTTCGTACGAATTTTAGGCTCAGGAGAGCGGTAAGAGACCAACGCTGGGAAAAAAATGGCTTTGAACTAGAGGACTTAGAGAAAATATGTTCTATTTTTAGACAGTTATGCAGACTAACTGGACTAACATATTAAACAAAGATGTTGTGAACATGATGCTACTTGAACCCATGTACCCTCCCTGACATTACCCAGGCTTAGCTGCTCCTCCCACCCCCATGGAAAAGCCCCGTTTCATGTTGCTCTCTCCAACATGAGATGACTCCCGGGGCAGCCGAGCACCGGCAACGAGCCCGGCATCGCCAGCCCCCTGGGGAGAGGGGTAGCCCAGCTGGCAAGTTGAGGGCAGAGAGTGAATCTCACCCTCCTGCAGCTCCCGGGACTGACATGGCACCCAGAGCTGCAGCTGCTTAAAAGAGGATGAAAGAAGAAAGCAAATCCCCTGTCCCAAAAGCTGAGGCTCCCAGCCCATCAGCAGGAAAGCGGAGGACGTTTCCTCCGCTGCCGAGCAGCCCCGGTACATCCAGGGGCGGGCATAAGTGGCAGATCCCAAAAAATAACCCCAGTCCCTTGCATCAGAGCATCATTCGCATCAGGACCGTTCTCTCTTGTGGTCAGTGACATAAAAATCACAGCCCCACACCTTGAAGAAAGCAATTGCCCCTGGTTTCCAGGCAGGGGGGGCTGAGAAAAGCCTGCCCAAAGCTCAGCCAGAGAGGGAAGAAGCACGGACCCAGTGCCCAGCCCTCTGCTTTAGTGGGGGCCATAAAACCACACATAAACTTCACTTTCACGGCAGGACGTTAAAGCCACAGCAAGTTTCTCATGCCCTCCCTCCAAAACGGAAGGTAGTTTTTCTAAACACAAAGTTTTTCTTTAACCTTCCTGATGAGGAACAATAATAAAGTCATTACAATGCCACTGGCACATCAGGAGCGGGCTTTCTTCATCTCTACCAGCAATAAAGCCCGTCCCTGAGTCAGTAACGAAGTGTAACGTTGACACTGTCAATGAGGGCATGAATCACACGCTGGGAGTGCACAAATCACACCCTGAGCTCGCTCCCATCGCAAGATCAGAGCACTTTGCTGCTGCTGCCGCCAGAGATCTGGGAATTAAAACTAAATTACTGGCTCACCTTGTCCTGCTCACAGGTAAATGCCGGGGCATGCCCCGTCACCACCGCACACAAGGCAATACTTGCTCCAGCTCAGCAGGCACAGGGGGAACCTCCCGGCACATCCCTCCTCCAAACTTCCTCTTAGATCCCTGGCTGACACACAACAAGTCACAGAATAAAAATCCCACAAAAATCCCACCTTGGCACAGCCTGGAACACGTTTGTACCCGAAGGGGAAAGGGATTCTCCACTGAAGACAACGAGGGAGTTCGCACAAAGAGGAGGCCCAAGTGGAGCAAAATGAGAACTGGGACACAGGCTGCTTCCACCAGCAGCTCACCAGATCACTGCAACCAGCCTTGGGACTCTGATTCACGAGGTGGTCACTGCTGCATCCTCTCTCCATGCTTGGATCCCTCTGCATCGCCACGATGGACATTGCCCAGACCCAACGGCACATCCAAAGCCTGCCCGTCTCTCTGCCCACCCACGGCCTGCTCCCGGGGGCTTTCCCCACGTAGGGGCTCAACAGAGCGATTCCTTCCTGCAATCACCATCGTCACTCGCGTGCAAGAGGCTTCCCAGCACAGCTGTCAAAGGGGAAGGTGGCCAAGGCTGAGATAAGCTACACCAGGACGCTGTTTGAAGCCACTCAGATACAAAACAGTCAATGACAGACAGATGCTTTGGGAAAAACATAGATGGGATCATCACAGAGAGCGTGTGTTCTCTCCTGCTCCACTCACAAGCTGCATCTTCAGCTGCTTTTCCTCTCTGTGCCTTGATTTTCCATCCAGGGAAACTAAAATACACCTACCTCATAAATCGGTTTTGAACCTTAATTCACTGGCTTCTGTAAATAGGTTGGAGTCTCTCTGATCATAAACAAATAAAGCTGTTAAACATCATCTGAGGTGGAGTCAGCGCACACAAACTTTTGAAAGTACAGCAGGGCCAGGAGGCCTTTTGACCACACAAAAAAGGGGAGATCAAAACTCATCTGGGGAGGAACAGCTCCATGCCACAACAGGATCCTTGTTGGCTCTAATGACAGAGCTTGGAGCCAGCCAAGGAGGAAAGGAAAAACGCAGCAGGGAACAAAACAGGAGGGAAGCAGAGGTGAAAGAAAATTAGGCCTCTTGCTTCAAGGTCCTGTCACCTACTTCTGCATGCTCCTTTACCTTTCACCTAGGACTTTTTATGAGGGCTTTTAAAGCTAATTAAGAGTTACACTCAACCCAGACAGCACGCAGGTACCACCGTCCTGCATTTGGCCACGAGCATTTGCAGCGCGGGACAAGCGACCTCCTGCAGTAGAACCACTATTAAATAAAGGCAGCAGAACACCTACTTTATAGGTGGAAAAAGCACGGCACAAAAAGTAAACATCTTTTATCTGGGGTCCCAGGGAAAGCAGGAGCAGTATGTGGAGGGATGAGAAAAGGATTCTCAGATCCTTCCTCCTCAAGCAGCCCCTCACCTGATGCACCACTGACGGACCATCCCGACCCTCTTGCTCCCAGCCCCAGGCCCCAGCAGTACCCCTCACTGGCACCTTAAGGGCCAATTCCCCCTCTGCCACCCCACCCCTGGCAGAGAAGAAAGGCAGATTGCCCCCCCCACATGGCCACGTCCCAGTCTCATCCTCCATGTTCCCTGATTTCCCAAGCGGGAGTGAGAGCCTGCACCCTAAAGTCACCGACGTGTCCCTGCCCTCCCAGTCCCCTCCAGATCACTGACCCCCAAAATCCTTTCCTGCCTCCTCCACACTCAGACCCATTACACCAGAGCACCCTGCCCCTTCCACCCCACACCCTCAGAAAGTCCCCATCTCCTCAAACCCACACCCACACAGAGCCCCTGTCCCCAGCTTCACCCTCCTGCTCCTCATTATCCCCCACCCCACAGCACTGTCTGCCCCCCACCTCATACCCCTGACCTTCCATGATCACAATGTCCCACAACCCATGTCCCTGTCCCTCACACCCCCCATCCCTGCTGCCCCACAGCTCCTGCCCCTGTCTCCCACACACCTCTGTCCCCGCTGTCCCACACTGCACGTCCCTCACACCCCCATCCCCGCT